CATCTGAAGTGGAGTAAAGAGGACTATGATGGTCTGGAGGTGATTCGCATTCCCAGCAGCCTCGTGTGGAGGCCGGATCTGGTGCTGTATAACAAGTACGCCCATACGTTCACACACACACCTGTTCTTCTTCCACTGACGTCTCTCCACAGCTCCGGTGAGGAATGAGCAGTGACTCTCTGTATTCTCTGTCTGTCAGGGCGGATGATGATTTCTCCGGGCCGGTGGACACTAACGTGGTGCTGCGGTATAACGGTGAGATCACGTGGGACGCTCCAGCCATCACTAAGAGTGCCTGTGTGGTGGATGTTTCCTACTTTCCCTTCGACAGCCAGCAGTGCAACCTGACCTTCGGCTCATGGACCTACAATGGAAACCAGGTATACACACCTTTTACCTTTTTTTTTAATGCAAATTTCTTTAACAATGAACATGCAATTAAAGACATTTATAACATATTAGTTACACCAAATCAAATACTAAGTCAAACAAAAGGGTGTGTAAATTATGACATAATTATCATTTTATGTAGACTATTGCTTTAAAGGCCGTATTTGATGCATATTTAACAACAAAACTATTAATTATGCGTCTCAACAAATACAGTTGAAAAACTGTTTTCTGTAATATGATGATTCAATGTGATGTTCAAAAAACACAAAAAACATGTGGAAACTGTGCATTTTAAAGTTTCTGCAACTGTTTCTAAAACATCTTTAGAACATATTTTGGTTAGCTGTCTAATCTCAGAAAACTAGACTTAAAGGAACAGTTCACCCAGAAATGGAAATGTGCTCAACCTCAGGTCATCCAAGATGCAGATGAGTTTGTTTCTTCATCAGATTTGGAGAAATGTAGCATGGCATCATTTCATCACTTGATGAAAAAAATGAAAAAGTGTTCTGGTCTGAATCAGGAGAGAAATCTGCACAGATCAAGCAGCGTTTAAACAGCTCTAAACAAATATGTGGCTGGATTTTGGTTTTGTGTGAACTGTTCCTTTAAGCATTTAACACTTTGACGTATTGGCACAAAATTTGGTGGAAATCATTGTCAGCGTGTCCTGAAGGTGCCTGAATAATTTGAAGACAGCGCCACCTAGTATTCAGAAGATATGGTCTAGTCCAGTTTGCTGGCCAAGAATCACACAATTAGAAAGGAAGACTGACATGCAAAGCAGCCAATTGCATTTCAGGGGTGAGTTAATCAGAAATAGTCGAGACTATGTGTTTTCTAACATGTCCATTTGTCTCCTGCAGGTGGACATCGCCATGGGGATGGACAGCGGCGACCTGTCGGACTTCGTGGAGAACGTAGAGTGGGAATGTCACGGGATGCCGGCCACTAAGAACGTGATCATGTACGGCTGCTGCTCGGATCCGTATCCAGACATCACCTACACGCTCCTGCTGCAGAGACGCAGCTCCTTCTACATCTTTAACCTGCTGCTGCCCTGTTTCCTCATCTCCTTCCTCGCTCCTCTGGGCTTCTACCTGCCCGCAGACTCGGGGGAGAAGGTCTCGCTGGGCGTCACGGTTCTGCTGGCGCTCACCGTCTTCCAGATGATGGTGGCGGAGAGCATGCCTCCCTCCGAGAGCGTTCCTCTGATCGGTGAGTCTCTCAGCCAGTGTGTAACGTCAGGAAGAAGAATTTAAATGCCACATACATTACCATTCAAAAGTTTGGGGTAAGTAAGACTTAATTTAAGAAAATTGATACGCATTGAATTGATCAAAAGTGCCATTTATAATGTTACAAAAAAAATTATATTTCAAATAAATGCTGTTCTTTTGATTTTTTTCTATTCATAAAGAATCCTGAAAAATAAAATGCATCACAGTTTCCACACAAATATTGTGTAGCACAACTGTTTTCAACATTGATAATAATCAGAAATGTTTCTCGAGCAGCAAATCAGCATATTAGAATGATTTCTGAAGATCATGTGACACTGAAGACTGGAGTAATGATGCTGAAAATACAGCTTTGATCACAGGAATAAATTACAGTTTAACAGATATTCACATAGAAAACAGCTGTTTTAAATTGTAATATTATTTCACAATTTTATTCTAGGCTTAGTAAGACATTAAAAAATCTTACTAACCCCATACGTTTGAATGGTAGTGTATAAAAATCTGTATTTAGTTTAATTGATTTATTTATTTAATTACATATTAATTTTGAATTCTGATTTAATTCTCTAGTTTTCTACTCTGAACACAGACTAAATGTAGCAAAAAAGAGATTGACGTCTCTCTCTGTCAGGTAAATACTACGTAGCGACGATGACTATGGTCACAGCGTCCACTGCTTTGACCATCTTCATCATGAACATTCATTTCTGTGGAGCCGAGGCCAAACCGGTGCCGTACTGGGCCAAAGTCCTCATCATCGACTACATGTCCAAGATCTTCTTCGTCTATGAGGTCGGAGAGAGCTGCGCGACTCCGTTCGGACAGATGGAGGAATCCGAGTCCTTCCACGGTCAGAACCAGAACCAGAACCAGAACCAGAAGCTCCATCCCAAAGAGAAAGCGAAAGGAGCTCCGCCCCCCTGCTGTCCCGACGACGACAAATCGGCTGCCTTCACGCTGACCATTGACCCCAGTGTTTACTGCGGTTGCCGTGGCAGCGGTGGAATTCTCGGGTGCGACCCGAAGCTGGTCCGGAATGTTGAATATATCGCAAGCTGCTTCCGCGAGCAAAAGGCCACGTGCCTGAAAGTGGCTGAATGGAAGAAGGTCGCCAAGGTGATGGACCGAATCTTCATGTGGATATTCTTCATCATGGTCTTCCTCATGAGCATCCTCATCATCGGGAAAGCACCTTGAACTGATTGGTGTGACAGTCAGGTGAGAGAGTAGAGCGCAGACGCCATATTTAATTGGACTATTTGACATATTCCACTATCCATGTTTTGCTGAGTTTTTGTCCACTTTTTACTGACACAATAAAACCCCATAAATTCACACTGCAAAAAAACGATTTTCATACCGAGTATTTTTGCCTTGTTTTCAAGTACAAATATCTAAACATTCTTAAATCAAGATATATTTACTTGAGAAGCAAAATTATATTTTAAGATATATTTTTTTAAGTATCAAAATGAGTTTATGCTTAAAACAAGAACAAATATCTGCCAGTGGGGTCAGGAAATTGGCTGATTTTTTTCTTGTTTATGTCATAAATTCACCTAATTTTGGTCATTTTAAAAAACAAACAAACCAAGACTAATATCTTAAGTCATTTTCCTTTTAAAATAAACATATCTTGATTTAAAGGAACAGTTCACCCAAAAAATGAAAATGTGCTGAAAATGTGCTCATCCTCGGGCATCCGAGATGTAGATGAGAAAGTAGATCAGGTTTGTAGAAATGCAGCACTGCATCAGTGTCTCAGCAATGGATGCTCTGCAGTGAATGGGTGCCGTCAGAATGAGAAGCTGATAAAAACATCACAATAATCCACAAGTAATCCACAGCACTCCAGTCCATCAGTTAACATCTGGAGAAGACAAAAGCTGAAACTAATCCAGCATTAAGACGTTTTTAACTAAAATACATTGAGTCTATAATCCATAATAACGCTTCCTCCAGTGAAAAAGTGTTGTGTTCTGAATCAGGAGAGAAATCTGCACAGATCAAGCAGCGTTTAAACAGCTCTAAACAAATATGTGGCTGGATTTTGATGTGAGAGACGACAGGAGATGCACTTCTTCACTGGATTATTATGGACTCGTACTTCCAGGACTCCAGAAGCAACGGTTTGAAGTTTAAAAACGTCTTAATGATGGATTTGTTTCTTACAAACACGCAACTTTTGGCTCCACGAGATGTTAATTGACGGACTGGAGTGGTGTGGATTACTTGTGAATTATTCTTTTTTTGGCTGAACTATTCCTATACTTGTAATGGAAGACAAAATAAAAATACTGAGTGCAGAAAACCTTTTACAACTTCTTAAAAAATTATTTAAGGTCTTATCGTTTTTTTAACTGCTTACTACAGTCGTTTTGTTTTTAAGTCAGACAGATTGTGATGTATTATACATCATGCTGGAGCCTCTTTGTGTGTGTGTGTGTGTGTGTGTAAAATAATCTGAGTATTAATAATGCAGACTTTTGCCTCTCAATGAGCACATCAGTTATATCAGTCTTTCTGATAAGAGATCCGCTTTTCTTCATTAGAAGGCTGTGACCCGTCTTCATTACAGGAGTCTCTCTCACACACATGCTTCTGTCAGTGAGGATATATAGACTTATATAGACTTACACTAGTTTTACATGAAACTAATGATCATGCACAGTGAATTATGTTGTCGCATCACTTTCCAGAAGCCCCCGTGTCACCTGTGTGTGTGGGAATGTTTTACACTACATAATGTTTCATGTTTTTTGGCTTATTGTGTTTATTTTCTATTTTTGCCATATATATACTTCACTCTAAAGGAGGTTTGTGTTAATTCATGCACTGTTTTTGTTCTTCTGCTGAAAAAAAAAAGTTGTAAATAATATTCTTTTAAGACATTATACTCGCTCTCTCTATTCATTCAAAGATATTAATTTCTATTTTATATGTTTTAGTTGTCTCCTACTGTCCTATGTTAAGTGGACTGGACTTCACTGTAAAAAAATGTAACGTTTTTTCTAAGTTGTAAATTATCATGCATCCACACCAGAAATATGAGATCCAGTCCACAAAATGTCTGGTAACAGAACAACTAGTCAACTAAGTTGTCTAATACCAAAAACCCCTTAAAGTCCCCATGAAATCAAAATTAAAGTTTTTTGGGTGTTAGTATCAATATGTTAGTCTTAAGGTTATCTTAAGGCAGTGTGCTCCAAAACGGTGACAAAATTCGCATTTAGAAGATATAAGCAATCAAAGCTTGCAGTTCGTCACTTCCGCCAAAACGGCTCAACGATTTTTTTGACGTCACATCGTACTTCAGCTTCTCATGGCACGTATTGATATGTCCCGCCATGTCTTCCTGTTTCAGTTAAAATGACGTCAACACACAGAGTAACGCTGCGTGTTTCTAAGCATTTCAGGGGACATTTAAGAGCAAGTCTTGACTGTCTGGTACCCAAAACTCTACGAACGGACTTCTATCAGCCAAGAAGTTGACTGAGCAAAGCCATTGGAGAGCAGAAGCAGGAGACGAAGTGATGATAAACAGGAGCAGAGTTTATTGGATAATAGTTGCGTATGTTTCAATGCTCAGACACAAATCCAACAAGTAGTGTTTTACCAAAACTGCTTCACAACAACATCCCATAAACCTTGAGTTTCCATAAACATTCCTCTTATCTCTTATTCATGAAGAGAAGAAACAGCGCTTGAAACCACACATCATACGACTAAACAACAATGGAAAAATAATACTAGTAACTGTATAACTAATATATGAATGAAATGAGTATTTAAATGATTATTATAAAGGTTTATATGCTTAAATGGAGTAATAAGCTGATTATAAATGAATGAATGAAGAATAAATGAATAAAAAAAGTAAAACACAGCACAAATATATGATCGTTCTGTTGAAGCACAACACACACAGTTTGCCTTCATTGCCCCCTCTTAATTATATGAAACCATTTGATTACATAGACTGATTCAATGCAAGCAAACATCTATAATCATCATCAAAAACATACTTTGAAAGCTCTTCCCTTCTACATGTTCAGAAGAACAGGTCTCTTCTGTCATACCACTGCACACCAGCGTCAGTCAGTAGATTTGGCACCAGTTTCACCCCATAATTTGGTACAACTGGAATCTCCAAAAATTGTGAAAACATATTCTTTTGTCACTTGAAGATTACTGGAGTATATGTTACAAGAAAGTATTATTTTAATTTTTCTACTTCAAAATCTTACATTTCATTCAATGTGTTAGATGCCTTTTCTTTGTAATTATTTGTGAAATTTTACTAGCAATTTTTGAGCAAAAATTGCTTCTATTTTAATCTTTCAGTTTCGAGATTGAATCCCATGTTTAAATGCGGATATCACTCCTGAAACTTTGCAGTGTGTACATCAAGTAGCGGCATTAATATTAAATGGCATGAGATCTTATGCACAGAAACATGCCTCTGTGTTTAGTGGCTGTTTTTCAGATTAAACATTTTCAATAAAAAAACTGAGCACTAGAAAACATAAACCTCTTTTAATTCTCAGGAACAATATATGAAAGAAATAAAGGCAAACTGGACTGTAAAAGGTGAAGTGAAAATGACTGAAACATTTGAAATGAAAAGAATCATTTACAATCAAAATAAAAGAAAAGTTTAAATAAAATAATTATTTATTTGGCTGAAAAAAAACAAAAAAAAACAGATTAGGTTAGATGAACATGAACTTTGGTACTGAAATAGAAAGCTCACATTTCTTTCATAGTTATTCCAACTAAATTTGATCAGTTCAAATAAATAGGGGGGTTCGTTTTCCAGAAATCATTCTTTCTAGAGAATATAGCACTTTTGTTTGAGGTTTAGGAAAGAGAGATGTATTTCCAGGTTTTTAACAGTCATAATACATCAGATTAAATCATCAGTATATACCATATACTCAGCATGGGAATGTGTAATTATCTCAAACAACTCAAGCCAAATTTACAGATTAACATAAGAAGATCTGTCTTTTGTCACTTAATCAGAATAACTGTGCCCTATAGCCCCAATTTTTCTTTTACTGCTGTTACCACTGCTGTCATTATTATACGTGCTGTTAATCTTCCGGCTTCTGCTTGTGCTATTTCTCTAACTACTGCTGTTGCTGCTGCTCCAACTGCTGCTGCTGCTGCTACTCCAGCAGCTGCTCCTCCTCCTGCTACTATTCCTGCTCCTGCTATTGCTCCTACTCCTATTACTTTTAGTACTGATTTTCCCCAGTCTTTTAAAGCCTCCCATTTGATATTTTCCTGGGCTTGTTATACATCTCATTAGTGTAGTGCTGTCCTCCATTCTCCTCCACCATCTTCTCAATCTTCTTCAGCTGTTTTGTGACCTGAGAGCAGTCACTCATGTCCTCATTATTGAATGAGTGAAATCTGTCACCACACGAATGAACGACAGCCATGAGATTTTTACTTTTTTCGATATACTCATCTAATGATTTACCCTTCAGATGATCAGCATGAGTGAACAGAACGATGGTGTAACGAGCAGCATCTTTTCCAAAGTTCTCCTGAATCCATTTCACTGTGTTTATCTCCTCATCTGTGAATCTCACATCCAGTCTGATGACCAGCAGGAACACATGAGGACCAGGAGCAGACTTGTAGATGCACTTCTCGATCTCAGCACTCAGTTGTTCTTCTGACATTCCAGTATCAAACATGCCTGGAGTGTCAGTGATTTTGATGATCTGGTCACCATTCTTCACTTCTCCACTATCACAGGTTTTAGTTACTGATTCTAGTGAACCAGCGTTCTGAAAATGCTCTTCACCCAATATAGTGTTTCCAGTTGAACTCTTTCCTGCTCCAGTTTTTCCCACTAGAACAATCCTCAGATCTGATAGAGAGAGATGACTTTTATTTACACATAATTTGCAAACAATCAAACAAAAGAGAAATTATGACATAATATTAAATGTATGGTTAACATGACAATTGTGTGACTGCAGTCAGTGTAACCGAACACTGCATTTAAAAACTCAGAAATCTGTGCGACCATTTCCATGTCATCATTTACTCATCTTCACGCCATTCCAATCACATAAAACTCTTTCTTCTGTGGAGCACTATAGAAACTTTGATAAATGTCCCAGCTGCTCTTTTCAGAACAGTGGTGTGAAAGTGTTACGGGGCTGACGAGACGTGAGACGTGTGGATCCATATGCAAAGCTTTATTTAGCAGAAGACAGAGACGTGGTCATCACAGGCAGGGTCAAACACTGGCAAACAGGTATATGGCGGGCAAAACACAAGAATAGTCACAGGACTAGCGTAGGTCACCGATGAGCAGACAGAATCACAGGGGCGAGACGAGAGGGGGGAAATCCAAGAAAACAGGCAAAGATCAAAAACAGGCAAGGCAAGGCAAAACAAGGAAAACACGGAGACTCGGAAAGGGGTACAGGCTAAACAATACTCAGCAGAGAAATGTGGTTAGAGTGGGTGTTATATAGTGAATGAGGTAATTAGAAACAGCTGTGTGCAATGAGTGCAATCAGGGCAGTGTGCAAATTGTGCAAAGCATGATGGGAAATGTAGTCCGGGGTGCTATGCAACAGTTTGTGTAGTGCGAGAGTCAATGTAAATGGAAAGGGTGACATCTGGTGGTGAATAAACAGAAGTCCATGGACTGAATTCGTGACAGAAAGGCTGCCATTTTCAAGCTTCAAAAACCACCAGAAATGATGATACACAATGTAATATCATTATATAAGTAAGAAAAATCTTTATCAATGGCAACCCAGGACATTTAAAATGCAGGACTGCATAAGCAGCCCTCATATTTGTGTCTAATGATAAAGTAGGAGTAAAATGCTAAATCCATCATAATTTATTTAGTGGACTGATGGATACAATCAAAAACAGTAGAATGGATGAAGTTCTTTGTTATTGAATTTGTTACATGCACAGATACATGACCTGCCTTTTCGTGCCAATAGAGACAAACAGGTCAGACTCATTTGCATATGCACAAGGGAGATGCTGTCATTTTTTGAAAGGCAAATTTTGAATCCTGATCAGACAATAGTCTCTTGTACGATTTCACTTCAGTAAGTTCCTTGTTCCTGCTTCTGACCATTAAGCCTAAAATCACATTACTTAGTTTGCCTTTATAACAAATTATGTTCAATTCATTTCAAGTTTATTTGTATAACGCTTTTCACGATACAAATCGTTGCAAAGCAACTTTACAGGAAATTAAGTTTCTACAATATTTAGTGGTAGCTTATCAGTGGTGACTGTAAGTTAATGTACATATGGCAGAAATGTATGGAAATATAACGCGCGTAGTTTCTATATACGAGCTTCACAGTTCCTACCGCGCACTAGAGGTCTGCTACCCGACCCGAGCCCGACGGGTCCCGAAATACTTTCGGGTTTCGGGTCGGGGTCGGGCTAATGTTTAAT